AAATATTCTTACAACGCTTTTAATTTCATTTTCTACCTGAATATTTGCCACGTGTGTTGTCTAATACAAGGGTTAGCCACCAGACACATAATGATCTTCTGAAGAGTCCGTGAGGGGGGAATTTCGAGACATTTTCAGTGCCCTTTAAATAAACTTGTGATTCTGGGCATGATGTCTTGTCCTATGACTCATCTGTTAAATAACAATGACGCGTTCTCTGTTGTGAATAAAATCGTATTTTAACAATTGTTTACTTAAATTAAAAAAGGTTTTATGCTGTACATTTTCTTTAATTTCACCTCAATTTTGCATTTCTTCAGTGTATATTGTATGTATACTATGATGCTATGACTCCCACGAGGAAGACAATGGTATTGGCATCTTTAAGCTTTGTTTATAAAACCGTATAGACGAAATAAAGTCCAAGAGATTAAGTAAAAGAAAGAAAAAATCCCCCTTTATGACTATTTCCCCGTTAGAGACAAAACATAAAAACATTAACGATGAAGTTAAAATCCCTTTTATTTCTATTGGGTGAATGACTGAATGTAGTGTAAAGCGCTTTGGGGGTCCTTAAGGACTAGAAAAAGCGCTATACAAATGCAGGCCATTTACCATTTACCATTTATTGTAGCGTGATAACACAGCATTTCCACGACAGGTAGTTAAGTCTAATGCTTTATTGGGAGACAATATACTGCGTAAGTGCACTCAAATAGAAGCAAAAGCTTCTAGAAAGTAAAGCTGCTATTTGAATTAACTTCACATTTGCAGGTGGAGACTGTGCTGTTGTAAACACATTGCGGCGATTGCATCTGAGTTCCAGGAAATCTAGTTTAGCCCTAGTTCAGACATTTCTATGAATTACAGAGCAGAACAGATTTGAAAGGTGGTTCAAGTTTGAAGGCATGCATAACACGACATTATCACGGCTTTATTTGGTTACTGGTAGAGGAAAAGAAACGAATATTGTAATCTGACTGAGGAAAGTTTCGCTTTTCTTTTTCTTGCAGCCAGCGACAACTTTATATCTTGGTATCTCTTTGAGTATTTTGAATGAATTTATTTAGTTTTAATAAATACATTGTAGTTGTATAAAAATGACTAAGACGAAAAACTGTCTATACATGTAGATGAATTGTACCATGCTGAGTCAGACCATTGTGACACGCCCCCCGCCCCCCGCGACGACACTTTTTTATAAGTGCTCAGCTAGCAAGAGGGTTAAAAACCTTTCTGACTGCTGAAGTCGCAACAATACAGTCTGCTTAATATGAGAGCAGAGCACAGAACGATGCTCACACAGATTTAGGTAAAGAGAAAAGCCGAATTAGTGCCGTGTGGAAGAGATACCTGGAATAATTCTTCCATTGGATTAAATCAACTCTCTCCTGGAGTGGCTGTATCATCTTCAAGGCTGGGAAGCTGAAGTATGGCTGTAATCGCCTGGCTGATCGTCCTCTTTTTGGGCATCCAGTGCAGTGTTGGGGAGATGGGCTGCCAGCAATGGGAGATAAATGGGAGCGATGTTTGCTGTGAGCGCTGTCACCCAGGTAATAAAGAAAAAAAGATCCAGAACCTTATAAAAGTTTGCAGATAGATTCTACATTTATTTGTTTTTGTACAGCTGTGCAGCTTTTTTTTGTTTGTTTGTTTTTAACGGCGCTCTTTTGAATGAAACTGCATTTACAGTTTAGCCTACTGTACTCACGAGTGAGATAAGAGAAGTCTTTTCTTCCACATTATTAAACCCAGCTATTATCTTTGGATGTTGAAAAAAAAAGTGAGAGATTGTTTTCCAACCTTTGAGGAGTTCCTCTGCGGTGGCCACACGCAACCAAAGATAGTTTCAGTGGTTTTTCACCTAATCCACAACAAAGGCAAGGATGATGCAGCTGATATATCCAATCATTGGGAAATGTCACTGACAGAATTTGTCAGTTTCATTCCTGTACATCCAGTGAAAGAGCAGAAAATATAGTTATTAGAGTTCAAACTTTTCTAGAAACCCAATCCTATAACTTATGAACCTTAAAAAGGAAATCTTTTTATTTATTAAGATGCATTATAGCGTTGATAGAGCCAGTGTCACTGAAATTTATGTGTATTTTACTCCCTTGCTTATTTTTGCAGGAAATCGCCTAGTCCAGGAGTGTGGTCAAACCCCAAAAGAACTTTGTACACCCTGTGAGCCCGGGACCTATACAGTGCACCCTAAAAGATACCGTTGTTACCCTTGTACACAGTGTGTAGGTATGTTGGTGCATTAATTAAGTCACAACCATATAAAAGCATTTCATCAGTAGTGTATTAAATTCTGGGCTAATATAGAAATCTGTAGTACTACTAGAGCTTTTAATCTTTTCGTATGTTTAGGTGCTCAGGTCCTTCTACAAGCCTGCACTCCCACCACTGATACCAAGTGTGGCTGTAGAGAAGGACTTACTTGTGGTGATGAAAGTTGTTCCTTCTGTGTGACGACGTGTGAAAAAGGCTTTGAACCTACAGTTAATCGTAAGTAAAAGTACAAATAATAAGCTTTTAACTTTAGCCCAGACACTACACATGTTGGCTTAAATGGCAAATCAACTCACTGACTTTCTCCACAGGTGACTGCAGAAAATGTCCAAATGGAACTTTTAACGACAAAGTTCACCAGAAGTGCAAACCCTGGAGTACCAAGTAAGATAATACCCTTTACTAAACACCACCGTGTTTTACTGTTGCTGTAATAAAACACTTGATAAATCCCAGAAAAGTCACAGGGAATCTTTTGTCACGCTTGTTTCTCCCAGGTGCTCCAATCCAAATGAGCAGATTGTGTTCAAAGGAGATGCATTAAATGACATTAAGTGTGTTCAAGTTATACCTGAGGAAACACGTGGCCAAAAAGTTAAACCTGACTCTGGTAAGTCATGATTCTTTTTCTTCTTATCATGCTTCAGTTCTGATCTAAAGTTGATTATAACAGTGCTGTTTTGAAACAGATGCTCAAGACCCGATATGGCCACTGTTTGTTATCATTGGCATACTTGTGTTGTTCCCCGTCACCATCATCATTATCATGATCCTGGCTGTGAAAAACCTCCAGAAAAGAAAGAAGACCAAAAAGAGAATTCATGAAAAAATCATTGTAAACCCTACAGGTAATTTCTCTTGCATTTCATGATTAGGTAATATATCACCTGAATCATAGTGATTAACTATTTTAATTGCTTACTTTTTCCCTCTTTTTCTCCTTCAGATGATCCCAGGACATTAATTGCAATAGAGTGCAGTTTCCATGAGGCTCAGCAGGAACAGGGCAGCACTTGCAGCTCAGAGTCACTGGACTCTAAGGACTCTTCAGAGCAGCTGATTGCATGAATGGAATGACCTGGGCTAGAAAGCCGCATGGAAGTAGCTTTTTCATTTAAGGAAACAGGATTTTACAGCTAAAATGGGATTCTTCTTTCTTCATACTGAGCCACTTTTTTTTTTTTAAATGTCTTTGTTATACCAAGTTGCTTAGGCCAGCTGTCTTTATTTTAGAACAGCATAAGCTACTGTGTAAAAAGGCCTAAGAGGTCAAAACAAACTGTAACATCTTGCTCAGTTTTAACAACTGGATACAGTTTCAGTGATCCTTCAATAACATAGTCAGTGGAAACAAGAGGAAGGGGAATTCTGAGAGGGGAAAGAAGAAAGTGGATTTAACAATAGGTTATTCACCATGTAAATTCTAACAGCAGGCTGTTTTTTTGCCATCTTGGAATGTGAACGCAGTCATGAAATAACAATGAACAAAAGCAAGCCTTTTTGCCATTACGTTTTTAACTGCGTTCAAAGTTCAGTCTACTCTTCCCAGTACATCGTAGAACAGCTGTAGTGCGTAAGAGTATGATAGAGAGTCATTAATCTGGTATTTGCACGCCTGAGTGGTAAAACTGCCAAGTATTGCTCAGTTTGAAAATACGATGTGGGTGAGTGCACAAGTGGGTGTAACAGATTGATTTTAGTCATATTACTTTCTGAGCCTTTATATTACCTCCCAGTAGTATGGTTTTACATATGCTCAAAGCCTCAACATAACATAGCAACCTACCTGCTGTTTATGGCAGTTTTGTTGTTTTAATTGTTTTATCTGTTGGTCATTTACAGTTTGTCTTTTTTTTAATAATTATTATTTGTTAAATTGTGAAAATTGGTAGCTAGACTCATTATTGCATGTAGCCTCTTCCACTCCACTGAACTTTACCAGGAACTATATGGACTTTCCAACTGTTGCTTAACTGGTCAAAAAAGTCCAGTGAAGGGACTTCCCTATTTTAAGTAGATAAAGCTACGATTCAAGCTGAAGCACTAGGGAGACCTATTAGTGAAATACTGTGTACAGAATGGTTCACAAAAGGAAGGTAAAAATTGTTCAGCTGTGACAATCACTGAGCATGTTAAGGCACGCTGTATGACTAAGTGTTTATCAGATCAAGTATGCGTTTAACAGGTCAGAATAAAAACAAAAATTAAATGCTCAAAAGCTTAGTAACACAATTGCGGAAATCTTTCAGTATTCCTCACAAGTGCCACATGGGAAATCCACCAATTATCGCTGTAACTCTTGAATGTCTTGGGAAATCCTGTGAACAAATATGCTTGACTGATGTAAATGATGTGCAAGCTATACCCAGGGGACAAGCGGAAACCCCCCAGAGAGAGTCTTGTAGAGTGCGTTACTTTTATTTTCTTCTAGAACTGCAGAGTGGGCAGCAAGATTAGACCAAACGGTTGTTTTTTTTTTTTAATTCTATTGCTCCCCTGGTCTGTAAAAGGCGAGTGTTTCTTCATGGAACATTTGAGAAATATACTGTGTGGGTTTTGCCTGAAAACGTTTACCCACGCCTATAGTAATAGAGCAGCGTATGAGTCACCTCTCCAGCAAAGCAAAATCAGTTAAAGACTTCAAAGTTCACAGGTGGCGCAGTGAAAAAGTGTTAACATTACAGTACAGTCATACAGTGACATTTTAATACGACTGCAGCACTTTATTATATCTGCTGAATATTACCTGATGAATGTCATGTACTTTTGGTTTGAGTGTATAATTTTGTCTCACGGTGGTTTCCTATAAAATGTCTTCAGCTGTCTATAGTACTGTATAAAACTGATTATATGTATTTTTACACTGTACTTACATCACATTTTTGAACACGCAATAAAGATTGTATTTATTATGTACAGAATAGTTGCAGTCATGGTGTCGTATTTCAGTTGTGTAAAGAAAAGAGTTTAAATGTGGCAGCAAGAACAACATACACAAAACTAAAAGAGAGACCAATAAATAGTAATACATGCATCAAAATTATTTCCAGTCACTTCTGTTAGATTCCTGTTTGGCATTAGGAATAGTGTTAAAGTGACCTGGTAAAACATGCAAGTGTCTTAGTTCAGAGTCTGTCTTTGGTGTTGGATTTCAGAGATTGCGAAATGTAGTTGTAAGCTCCAAAAGGTAATAGTAGCAGCTAAGCTTCATGTAGCTATAGCAGAGAGCTATAGTTTTATTTATTCCATGAGCTGTCAGCAAGAGTATAATGAACTTCCTCGTTTGAGTGGGAAATAATTACATTTAATTTTGACTTCTTTCACTACCACTATGTTAATGTGATCCAGTTTTACAACTTCTGGGATTTCCATCTATAAAAAGTAAACAAAGTTAGTTTGATTGTCGTTAGATAACAGCAAACATGACAAGAACTGCTTTGAAGCAAGATTACCTTGTCACTATTTCTTTGTAAAGATTAACGTTCACATGCTTTTGGTGATTCCCCCAAGAAATAGAGTGGAGGAAATAATTATTTGATCGCCTGCTGAATTTGTACATTTACTCACTTAAGAGGAAGTTAACAGTCTCTAATTTTTATGGTAGCTTCATTTTAATGGAGAGCGACAGAATCTCAACCAAAAATACAGAGGATCGGTTGATCCTCTACAACCAGTCCAGAATTCTGGCTCCCACAGATTGCCTATATCCACGCACATACAGGCAATTACAATCCGTCAATCAATTACAGATACTGGCAATCTGATGTGTATAAAGCAAACCTGTCCACAGAATCAATTTAAAAGTTTTCACCACCATGGACAAGACCAAAGAGCTGTCAGAGGAAGTTACTGACCAGACTGTAGACCTAACACAAGGCTGGAATGGACTACAAGACTATCAGCAAGAAGCTTAGTGAGAAGGTAAAAACAGTTGTGCGACTATTCAGAAGTGGAATAAAAAAAATGGCATGGGAGAAAGCGCTACGGTCAGATGAAGCCAAAATCTAATTCTTTGGCATCAACTTGACCTACTGTGTTTGGAGGTAAAGAAACTGAGTGTGATCCAAAGAACACCATACTTACAACAAGTATGGAGGTGTAAATATTATGCTTTGGGGCTGTTTTCCTGCTAAAAGTACAGACAACTTGACTGCAATAACAGGGAAATGGACAGGGCCAAGTACTGTGAAGGTTTTGGATGAGAACCTTTTTCCCTCAGCCAGAACACTGAAGAGGGGTTGTGAATGGATCTACCAATTTGACAAGCACTCAAAACATATCGCCAAGGCAACAAAGGGGTGGTTAAAGAAGAAGCATATTAAAGTCATGGTGTGGCCTAACAAGTCTCCAGACCTCAATCCAGCCTGTGGAGGGAACTGAAGCTTCAAGTTGCAAAGCATTTTATAACTTTTATATAATGTGTTTTTTCTGGATTTTTGTTAATATTTTGTTTCACTCCATTAAAATAAAATTACCATAAAAATTATTAACTGTTCATATCTTCATAAGTGAGCAAACTTACAAATTCACCATGGGTTCAAATAATTATTTTACCCACATTATACCTAGTTTAGACATAATTTCTTTAATTTCTTTTATTATTAAAGTATTCTGATTCTGATTTAGACAATGGGACGAAGTTATATACTAGGTGGCAGAACATAGAAGTCTACTTGGATGGTTTAGTGTATTTGTAATGTAAATAAAGTGTAGGCACAACTTGGGGAGGACTGAGAGATCCAGCTGACAGTATACTGGTTAACTACATATAAAATACAATACAATAACAAACCCAACATTTCCCTTTAGCATTTATAAAAGCCAGGATTTTAAAATGTTGTCTTTAATCACTTAATCAAGAATCTAAAAAGTCTCCTTATTCCACTGCTCTAAAAAAAAGTGCTAGTAGGGGCAGCTGAGAGAATGCTATTCGTGTCAGTTTTAACCCTAAAATAAAAAGCAATGAGAACTCTAGCTGAACTGATTAAGTGTTATAAAAGAAACGGTGTATGGCCTACAGCAGAACACAGTGTTGGAGATCACTGTTGCTTGCAGTTCTCCTTCTTCTCTTTGGATTTACTTCGTCCTGATTTGTCTGTTTGACGCTTTGTTGGCGGAATAAATGTAGGCTCCTCAAGCATTTCATTTAGACCTGACTGTGGCACAGGAAGGGGCTGAGTAGCTGGACCTACAATGGAGGAAAAGGAACTGTCAAGTTATTGTTTCAACAGTTTCAACAGTGGTTTTATTTCAGTTCAGTTCAAATACCCATTCGTCCCATTTGGAGGCTCATTGTGCCTTGCCTCCTCGCCTGGAAGGTTGGATCCAATTCCTCTGCAATGTTTCTAATCTGCTGCGCTGATCTATAAATGTAGCAGCTGTAAGTCACCATATTTTTGAAATATCAGACATACAGCATTAATTAAGAGATTTAACTTGTTAATTACGGTGTAGTGGTGGTGGGACTTGGCGGAAGGTTCTCTGGAGAGCAGTCCTCAGTCGGGGAAGGAAGTCCCTCTGAGTCAAGTCTCTCTCGTTGGACCTGAAATGAACAAAGAGGTTTCTCAGCTTGTTTAAAAACTCTGCTGACAGAAACACCCAATAAAGCCCTTTCACACATATGCATAACAAGGCTGTGTATATGTTTGTCTTTGTCTTGAATTCCTAACCACATGTTCAAACAAACCTGTCTCTCTCTTGCAGCTCGTCTGTCATGATGATTTATCATCGCCCTATGCTCACGCCAAGACTCAGGCCCTTCCAGCTCACGAGATCTACGCTTTGATTTAATTTCTTCTTTCTGCATGAATCGTGCAATTTCCTACACAAAGAAAAAGGCATGATCTTACTAATCAGTTGGATGTTAAATAAATGGATACTGATGACATGTCAGTTTATCATTCCACCTCATCCTGTGCCACTTGTGCTACTCTGAAGTCCCCGTCTGGATTAGGACAGCGTTGAGAAGGCTGAGAGTTCTGTGAGGAAACAGAAATTAAATGTTCAGATCAACAAACCAAACTTCTGTTTTTCTGCTAACCTTCTAAACTACAGTGTTTCATGTTAAATTCTTGGATCAGTTACCCTCCTAAACAGCTTTTCCTCTTCCTCCTGTAGCTTGAGGGCCAGTTCTTCATCTTCTAAAACCTGCTGCAGCTCCCCCAGGCTCAGATTAGTTTCACTCAGCTCTGGTTGAAGTGGTGCTCCTAAAGATGAAGTTTGACATTTCAAATTCAAAATTGAGCAACTGTGATGATGATGAGCACATGATTTGTTAAAAAAAACATCACCCATTAATCATTCAAGTTTACCGAAAGAGTCTGGGAAAGGTTATTTACAATGACATTTGAAATGACAGCACAAGGTGAAAAGATGCAAAATGAAAGCAACTCCCTGGAATTAATTATCTTACAACCCTCAAGATGAAAAGAAAAAAAAAAAGAATTAGAAGAAGAAAAAGTAGAGAATTAAAGTACAAAGGAAATACTATTTTAGACCACTGATTTTGTAGATATGAAACAGGGAAACGTCCCACTTCAGTAAGGAATCAAGACACCACTAAAGCCCAAGTCCAGATAAGGGGATGATTAAGGGAAGATGAGAGGAGCAGATGTACACAGAGAGGGACAGCACCATGCTGGAAGCTTTCCCTCTGCAGATTAGAGTTGGCTGCAGGTCTAAGTGTTACCTGCTGCTGTGCGCCTTGACCTATCCCTGGTTGAAGCCCTGCTGCTGGTGCTGAGACTTTGGCTACGCCCTGGGGCTCTTCGGCGGGGTACATTTACTCTCCTCTCCACGTCTTGCTCCTCCTCTGAGCTTAAGCTTTCTTCTGCGGTCCTGTGTAAATGCCTCCGCTCGCTTGCTACCCTCCTGACTCTGTAATTATTTACATTCCTCTCTCCCCTCTCATCATTGTTACTCCACCTTCTACTGCCTTGTCTTTCTCTTTTAGCAAGGTCTGAGTCTCTTCTCCTAATCTCATAAATCTCTCCATTATCATGATGCCTGTCTCGGTCTTCTCTGTGATCTCTCCCACTGTTCTCTCGGTATGACAATCTCTTTCTCTCCCTAATATCTCCATGGAAACTGTGCCTCGTGGAAGCAGCTCTGTGGAAGGCTCTCTGATGTGGTTGGGAGTCGCCGCAGGAGACCTCACTCCCATGAAACACCTGGCTGTCTCTGCTTTGAGGCCTTATTTGCAGTGGCGCCCCATTGCCACCAAGCTTCACAGGAACACCCCTCTCTTTGAGGACACGGGCCAGCATCTTCCACACTTGGCTGCTTTCACTCTGCTCCCTGCGAGAGCTCCTCTTATCATCTCGAAAACGGACGTGTTTGTCAGGGCTGTCCTTGTAGCTCCAGGTCTTTGCAAAGTCTCTGTTGCTGTGTCTATCCCTGTCATGCAGCCGAACAGATTCACTGTGACTGCATCGCTTTTCTCTAAACTCGACGAACTGAGAGCCTGTATCCTGACCTCTAATATCATACTCATCTCTGTACTTCCTCTCTTTATCCTGATTCCTAGGCCTTCTTTCATTCAGATCACCATTTTCATAAAAGTCCTCGTCCCACTCTTCTCTCTCCTCCCTGAACTCGTCTGAGAATGTTCTACGAGAGTAAACTCTTCTGTAATTACTCTCTTGTGGCTGATGTAAAGATGCCCGCTGTCGAGCAGGTGCAGTGTTGAATCTTTCATTCAGCCTCTGGGACCAGACAGAGAGCTGTTCAGAGAAAACTGTGTCCGAGTCATCTGAATTTTCACTCAAAGGCTCTCTCAATTCACTCCTAATTTGCCTAATGGAATTGGGGTGTCCTTGATTTGACCATGAAGTTGTATTTTTCTGGGCTGCTAACCCCCTTGGGGAGTTAGTCTGAGGCCCAGTTATGTCTGAGTGAGAAGTAGAGGATCGCCACCTGGTGGTGGTGCTAGGGTACTGCTCCTCCCCCTGACAAACGCTGTTGTGTGTGTGCTGTTGTAGGGATAGCAGTGCAGGGTCACTCGTGCTGCCTTTGGTATTGCCAAACATGCAAACAAAAAAAGGGTGGGTGGGTGAGTCTGTTAGTGATTATTATTAATGATGAGGTAACACAGCAATACAAACAGCTGCATCTACAATTAGTATAAATGGATGAAATATAACTGACATATTTCCATGCATTTACATACAAGAATGAGCCCTGCAAATGCTGAAAATGTAATTCCATGCGTTAAAGACAATATCAAAACAAACATGAGAGCAAGTTAGAACAAAAAACATGACACGTTTTTGTTCATGGCCTTGTAGTATCTGTGGTGAGTGATTTAAATACAGCTGCAGTAATGATCACAAGCAGAGCCAAGAATGTTTAGTAAGAAGCTAAATAATGACAGGTTGTGTCCTATGGAAGTATAACAAAGCCTTCTGCAAATTCTAAAAATATCCAAAAACCCCAAAACATTTTATTTAAACAATGTGAACATTTCTAAATAACCTTCATAACTATATACAATAAAGCTTTACCTTCACTATGGCTCCCTGACCCTCTACTTCGTCTCCTGATACTCTCCTCTTCCTCTTCTTGCAACCGTTTGGCAATTTCCTGTGGAAACAAGGCCAGTGTGTACACAAATATGACTTTCAGCAGATAAAATGATCTCTTCCATCAAATAAGCACTTAATCAAAGATATTTTTCTATTTTCCAGTTTAGTTTTCAACAAGATTCACCAACAACATGTAAGGCATTTCTATAAAATAATGTGAAGAATGACAGAATCTTTTAGTGTATGACATAGTAAAAAAAAACAAAAAACAAGAGCAAATAAAAGACTAAATTATAAAACAAAAAACAAAATAATTGAGCTTCCCCGATTAAAAGAATGAACTACACTGATGTGGAAGTATGAGTCAACATAACTGCAAGAATGAGGCTCCACGTACATTGTACCCTTTTCCACCAACAGAGGGCAATGTAACATAGATAAAATCAACAGCTGCAATTTGACAATGAAGGAAAATCTTATCCATGAATTAATATATCCCATATGGATGATTTTGCTTTTGTTCATAATGTAGCAGATAGCTGTCTTGGGCTCCAGATATTCCTTCGTCGGTTTAAACCTCACACCACTCTTTAAACTCGCGCAGCTCCTTTAGATTTGCTCTCATTGGTGAGGTAACAACCAAAATGGACCACAACCTTAGACCACATTTTTACATGAAAACAGGAATCTTTCTACACTGGACATGCAGAGTTATGTTGGGGGATTTGATAATGCTGTGAGGTGATGTGACATCTTAATAGCGGTCATTTAACTAATTCTGTTCTGGGTGGCCAGTGACACCACAGGATTTAGAACTCTGACTGAATAGAACCTGTAAGAAAAAATTAAGAAAAAGTAAACTTTTACAGCAGAAGCAGATCAATGCCACTGCTCCACTTGAAGTAACACTGTCACAGGCGATTGTCTGGTCTTACCAGAGCAGCTTTGTGTCTCTACGGTCCAGCTTCAATGTATCTCAGTGCTACTTTTTTGTGCTACCAATAAATCATCAAAATTCAACCAGTGAATTCTATGAGATTTCCCTCTGTGGGCAGCATTTACAACATAAATCATAAGTAAAAGCAAGCACAGCTGCTTTTGCCTTGCAATCAGGACATTTGTGTGAGCCACTTTGCCAGCATCAGCAGACAATCAGCAGCTTGCCATGGCAGGTTAGGCGTGCAGTGCCACAGGGATCTGGCATTTAAAAGTGCACAGCCTGATGCCTTCTGTTCCTTAATTAAAGACACGATCTACAGGGAGGCAAATATTTAATCAACACCTCTGATCTCCCCATCATTATAGAAGGTAAGCTAACGTGTGCGCTAATAGTTCATCATTTGATCCCCACGTCAACACTCATAAAAAGAAAATACTGCAGAGCCAAAAAAGTAAACTAGGGTTTACATTTAATGTAAAGTGTAAACCACAGAGTTCAAACCCAACCCCTTTACTAATGATCAAGGAATTTTACAGCCCTCTATGACCTCACACCCTCCAAACAAGGAGCTTTTATACACAGCCTTCTCCAAAAAGGAAACTGCCATGTAGAGAAAATATTTTGCTGTAGTAGCCATGTGAAACAGACAACCAGGCCAGCTGGAGAGTTTTCATGGCTGAGTCGATGACTTTTTCCAGCACAATAGACTTCTCGTTTCTCAGCGACACCATTCATGTTATTCAAAGAATCAGATGAATTTCTTTTTGGTAAAGCAAGTTATACAAAATGCATCAAGACAGCATCATTGAGGGGGGCAGGATTTGCCTTGTGTGTGAACATTCAAACACCGTGGGAGTGGTGATTGATGAGAACCATCTGGTTGGACAACCATGTTTTGGCTGCAAGATGAATTGTTTTTGTATTTACAGCTCTGTAGAGGTTCACTTCCCTACCATAAACAGGAGATAGATACATTTAAAAACAGCTATCCAAGCATTATATTTATATTGCAAACTT